CAGGAGTTTGAGACTGCAATGAGCTACGATCACACCACTGCACTCTAGCCTGGGCGACAGAGCAAGACACTGTCTCTAAAACATAAAAAATTTAAAAAATAAAAACATATATAGTAGGATAGTTCCTTGCTAGGTTAAGAAAACATCATCTTGTTCCTTCACATAACAACTAGCATCACTTTTTTTTTTTTTTGAGACGAAGTCTCTCTGTTGCCCAGACTAGAGTGAAGTGGTGTGATCTCGGCTCATTGCAACCTCCGCCTCCTGGGTTCAAGTGATTCTCCGCCTCAGCCTCCTGAGTAGCTGGGACTACAGGCACCCACCACCATGCCCAGCTAATTTTTTTGTATTTTTAGTAGAGATGGTGCTTCACCATAGCACCAACTATTGAATATATGTGCTAGGATTTATACATAAAATATCTCCTTTAATCCTCACAACACACACACACACACACACACACACACACACACACACACACACACACATTCCTATTCAAGATTTAGGTCAATTGGTTTACATTAAATGAGATTTTTGAGAACTGAATTTCAAATCCTAAAAATGAGATTCAAACTCCAATTTTGCTAGCTCTTACAAACTATTTAAACTTGAGTGGGTGATAATCAAATTTTCTCATCTACAAAATGGAGAAAATAATCTCTTCCCTGACTACTACGAAAGATTGTGATGGTTTAAAATAGAAAGTACCTGTGACCATGATTACTAAACAATAGTGAAAATAAGTGAATGCTAAAAAATGATCCAGTAACAACGTCTCTCTGCGTTTATCAAGGAAACTCATCATTCTTAAGAAAGCCCTTTTAAGGCCGGGCACAGTGACTCACACCTGTAATCCCAGCACTTTGGGAGGCTGAGGCTGGTGGATCACCTGAGATCAGGAGTTCAAGACCAGCCTGGGCAACATGGTGAAACCTCATGTCTACTAAAAAATACAAAAAAATCGCTGGGTCTGGTGGCACATGCCTGTAATCCCAGCTACTGAGGAGGCTGAGGCAGGAGAATCACTTGAACCCTGGAGGTGGAGGTTGCAGTGAGCCAAGATCACGCCATTGCACTCCAGCCTGGGCAACAAGAGCAAAACCACATCTCAAAAAAATAATAAAAAGCCCCTTTAAAATCCTGTCACCTTAAGTTTCCATTGAACCTCAGTGTACCTCAATTTCTTCACTTGTCATGTGAAAATAGCCTCCATCCATTTCATGGAACTTTTGAGATTCTCAAAGCATTGGACTATATTGTATGTCAACTGTTATTATTGGTGACTGCACAGAAGTATGTAAAATCCTGTTTCTCACAATTCCAGCCAGTTAAATTCCTACTCCCCAAAGAGCTCCTGTATACTTAGGGAGCCTTATTTTGTTAAAACACAATAATGAACACATTGTGATGACTTAATACATTTGCCTCCTTATCAGTTACAGAACAATGAATGGCATAGTAAGAACAGAATGGCCATACTCAAGATCCTAACTGTACTATAGTGCCCATTCTATAAATATAGTAGCATTCAAAGATGAATAAGTGATCAAAGAAATTTTTAGGGTAAGTCTGTCTTTTCAGACTACAAGCACGTTTGGTCTATTTTATTATAGAAGACAACCCAAAGACCATTGTGATAAAGACCATTTTTATGCCCAAAGCCTAATTGATGGAGATTTTCAGCCAACTTAAGAGACAAGGGTTGCCTTTGCACATCTGCATGATCTTAAAACTGGGTGGCAACAATATGGGAGAGAACTAATTGAATTTCAATTTATAACTATATAAATATCCGTAACAAAAGAGTATAACCTGAATTGACTGAATACTTCGTTTCCATAAGGCATATATTCCTATTGCCAACAAAATCAAGAAAGAAATCCTCAAGATGACTTGCAGAGCCGGAGCAATATTATCTAATAGTCCCAAACTTGTTTGCTGAGGTGCAGCAGTCTCTCCCAGAAAACTTGCTTGTATCCAATTCCATATTGGGCTCTGAGAAAGAGTATCTAAGAGGCTGTCCCAGCTAGAAGATGAAGTTGTTGACATTTTAGTAAGCAGCAGCTCCAGGAACTACATGTGCAGAAGCTTCAGGAATCTAGATATGAGTTAGGGGAAGTAGCCTGGGGACCTAGGTGTTCTGGAGCCATTGTGAGTTGTGCTTTGTGATGTCACTGTTCCAAAGGTCAGTTTGCTTTTCACTCACCCAACCAGTGAATCTTACTTAAAACCAACCAGGTACTGGCCTGGGCGTTCAGTTCATTTATATTGCTTTCTCTGATCTTTGGCTAGTTCTAGCTCTAGCATAGTGCTGTCTAATACAACTTTCTGCAATAATGAAAATGTTCTTTATCTGCCACGTCCAATATGGTAACCACTAGTTACTTGAAATGTGAACAGTGCAGCAGAAACTGAATTTTACATTTTAATTAAATTTGGCCAGGTGTGCTGGCTCACACCCGTAATCCCAGCACTTTGGGAGGCCGAGGTGGGTGGATCACTTGAACCCAGGAGTTCAAGGCCAGCCTGGCCAACATGGCAAAATCTTGTCTCTACTAAAAATATGAAAATTAGCCTGGCATGGTGGTGTGCACCTGTAGTCCCAGCTACTTGGAATGCCGAAGCAGGAGAATCACTTGAACCTGGAAGGCGTAGGGTGCAGTGAGCTGATGTTGTACCACTGCACTCCAGCCTTGGTGACGGAATGAGACTCTGTCTCAAAAAAAAAAAAAAAAAAAACCTTAAATAGCCACATGTGGCTAGTGTCTACCCTCTTGGATAATGTAGATCTACATTTCCAAAAATTTCATCAAATGGACAACAGCTGTTTTCACATTTAAAGAAGTAAAACTGAGGTGTATTGAGCTTGAATGGAAATGTCACGAGACAAGATTTAAAAAAAAATTTTTTTTTTTTTTGAGACGGAGTTTCACTCTTGTTACCCAGGCTGAGTGCAATGGCGCGATCTCAGCTCACCGCAACCTCCGCCTCCTGGGTTCAGGCAATTCTCCTGCCTCAGCCTCCCGAGTAGCTGGGACTACAGGCGCATGCCACCATGCCCAGCTAATTTTTGTATTTTTAGTAGAGACGGGGTTTCACCTTGTTGACCAGGATGGTCTCGATCTCTTGACCTCGTGATCCTCCCGCCTCGGCCTCCCAAAGTGCTGGGATTATAGGCGTAAGCCACCGCGCCTGGCTTAAAAATTTTTTTGAGCCAGAGTGTCACTCCGTCACCCAGGCTGGAGTGCAGTGGTGCAATCTCAGCTCACTGCAACCTCTGCCTCCTGGGTTCAAGTGATTCTCCTGCCTCAGCCTCCTGAGTAGCTAGGATTACAGGCACCCGACACCACACCTGGCTAATTTTTTGTATTTTTAGTAGAGATGAGGTTTCACCAATGGCCAGGCTGGTCTAGAACTCCTGACCTCAAGTGATCCACCTGCCTTGGGCTCCCAAAGTGCAGGGATTATAGGCATGAGCCATGGCACCCAGCCAGAGATAGTATTTAAACAGGGTTTTCTTAAATAGTGAGTAATTTACTTGGTAAATAGGTGGAAGGAGGTTACTACTGGATCATTTTGTAGCATTCCCTTCTTTTCATTTGCTGCTATTGTTTAGAAATTATCTTTGGGAAGGCTTTTCACATATTTTCTCTTTGCTGATGGAGATTCCACCTCCTTCACAAGCTTTTTGCTTTAGGAACAAATGATACAATTTTTTTCTTTTTTCTTTCTCCCTCCCCTCCCCACTCTCTCTCAAATAATTTTCTAAGCACTTTGTAAACAGTAGCATGCTATATTATAACCTGTATACATGTTGACAAATCAGTTATTTACTGACTAGTACCTATCTACTCATCAAAGAAGTATGACAATATCAAAATAAAATGTATGGTCTGTTCCCAGGAAACATTCATGAAAAAATGCAGTTCACATGTAAGTATATAATCTAAATTGTGAGATCAGATTACAAAGAATCCAAAGAGTTTGCATCAAGAGGAGGGGCACAATAAATGAGAGGCTGGACACAGTGGCTCACACCTGTAATCCCAGCACTTTGGGAGGCCAAGGTGGGCAGATCACTTGAGGTCAAGAGTTCAAGACCAGCCTAGCCAACATGGTGAAAACCCATCTCTACTAAATGTACAAAAAAACTAGCTGGATATAGTGGTGCATGCCTGTAATCATAGCTACTCAGGAGGCTGAGGTGGGAGGATCGCTTAAACCTGGAAGGCTGAGATTGCAGTGAGCCAAGATCATGCCATTGCACCACTGCACTCCAGCCTGGGTGACAGAGTAAGACACTGTCTCAAAAGAAAAAACAAAACAAAACGGTGAACTGAGATGCCTGCCATGTCTCAAACTCTTGAGCTCAGGTAATCCACCTGCCTCAGCCTCCCAAAGTTCTGGGATTACAGGCATGAGCCACCACGCCCAGACCCCTATTGGATTCTTAAATCTCTATGATGCAGGAAATAAGTTCTGTTCAACACTTAACACCCAGGGGCTAGAAGATGGTATATGCTTAGTAAATATTTGGCTTCTTAACTATCTAGATAGGTTTCCTATGCCTCTGGTCTTATTTTTATTTATTTATTTATTTATTATTTTTTTTTACAGGCTAAACCTGCCAAATACATGCTGACAGATTTTTAAATCTCTTGCCTATCCTGGTTCCCTTCCTCAGAGTGATTCAAACCTCCAAATGCAGTCTGTCACAGAATCACTCCTGCAGGAGTAGAACAAACAGGTCAGAGCAGGGTAGGCCACTCTTTCTAGACCCAGTTATACATAATAGGGTATAAAATCAGTAGTATAAAGCCAGGAGATATCACAGTTTACCTTGGGGTAGGAGGTGAGAAGGAGCAACTTTTCCGACTTTTAGAAGTATCTAGCCTGGTACAGTGACTCATGTCTGCAATTCCAGCACTTTGGGAGGCTGAGGTGGGAGGATTGCTTTGACTCAGGAGCTCAAGATCAGCCTGGGCAACATAATGAGACCTCATCTCAAAAAATCACAAATAAAAATGAATACATAAAAGTTTCTTTCAGAAAGAAAAACTTGCCTTTTTCTTTTTTATAATTTTTTTTTTTTTTTTTAAAGATGGGGTTTCACCATGATGGCCAGGCTGGTCTTGAACTCCTGATCTCAGGTGATCCACCTACCTCGGCCTCCCAAAGTGCTAGAATTACAGGCGTGAGCCACAGCGCCCAGCCCAAACTTGCCTTTTTCATAGGTTACATGTTATTCACAGGAAAACATATGCACAAACTTCCCATCTCTATATTTGAATGAAATGTCAACACCCTGTGTATGACTGTGGAGTTTGAGTTGTATAACCTGGCTTTCACCTATACTTCAAGTTGTATTTCCCACTATTCACTTTCACAAACAACCCTAAGATTACAGAACTGTGGTATTTTTGGTATTTCAAATACCACCTGCAATTTTCCATCTGTTATTCCTTTATATTAAATGTCCCTCTCTGACATTCTTAGAAGAGCTTTGAAACTGGGCTCCATCTCTATTTGTGCCAGCCAGGCAAGACACTTCATCTTGAAGTTGTCAAGTAAGGATAATAACAGCACCTATTTAATGGGATTATGAAAATTCAACAAGATAATTTTATGTAAAATGCTAAAAAGCATAATTACCCTGAATTCTCACAGTACTTCCCACTTCCAGGCCAGTGCTTCTAGAACTTTTCTATGCCTAAGAATCACCTAGAGATCTTACTAACATGGAGATTTGGGTCCAGTAGGTCTAGAGTAGGGCCTGAAATAATGCATTTTTATTAATAACAATCTCCTAGGTGATGCCCATAGTGCTGGCCCACTACCACACTTTAAGTAACAATGTTCTGAGATACTCCAGCCCTCCCTTCACCTTGTTAAATCTCATTGATGGCCCTGACAAATTTACTTTGGTATTTTTGTCTCCCAGAGCATCTGGAATTGTATCTCTTTAAATGTGTGTACTAAAATATTTGGCGAATAACTATGTCTTAAGCAGTTCAGCTCAGTAGGCCATTTGGGACTGAGAAAGGATAGATTGAGAATGGAATACCCCGAGAAAGGCTAATAAAAAACTTTCTTCTCCACAGTTCCTTACCCTTTTTCACACATGGGCTCATAAAAATGGGGAAAACACTGAAGCAAGAAAATTCTGGGTAAGAAGGAAGAATAGAAGTGTCTGGATGTCTTCGTTCCTACCCACCATTTTGGGGGCACTCTTAAATTGAAAAAGCTTTGAAACCAAAGCCAGTGCTTTCAGGTCAGTGCCAGGGTTGGTACAAATTCCACAGATATCAAGTTAAAATGATTACTAAAAGCTACAAAAATAACCCTTTGCCCTTTATTGTCATATAGTTACTCATGCTAGTTTAAACATAAAAGTCTTTTTCTTTTTTTTGAGATGAAGTTTTGCTTTTGTTGCCCAGGCTGGAGTGCAATGGTGCAATCTTGGCTCACCGCAACCTCTGCCTGCCAGGTTCAAGCGATTCTCCTGCCTCAGCCTCCCGAGTAGCTGGGATTACAGGCCTGTGACACCACACCAGACTAGTTTTGTATTTTTATTAGAGATGGGGGTTTCTCCATGTTGGTCAGGCTGGTCTTGAACTCCTGACTTCAGGTGATGCCCCCACCTCAGCCTCCCCAAGTGTTAGGATTA